GCAAGAAGTACTTCCAGTGCTCGCCCGCCCGCACAGGCTCTTAGCTGGGGTACCCGGCACTCTCCCACGCAGGACCTTTCGTCCACACCGTGCAGCCCGAGATAAGCCACTTGCGCTTGAACTCTAGCCCCCAGGGCCTGCCTGAGCTCACACAGGGAGACGTGGTCGTGTACCTGAAAACCTGGGCACTGCCCCCCACCCGCTGCCTGCCCTGCCTTTAAAAACCCCCTCTCCCGAAGCAGCCATTTAACCCTGACATCAAGTTTAAGGACAAGGATGAAAGATAAAGCACAGAATTTTATTTTCTTGAAGAGAAAGCAAGGCAGCTACTGTCTGTTTGACACACCATCACCGCAATGCCCATAACCCCTGGGAGATAGCAATTCAGGTACCTGCACTCTGGCTGGGCAGCAACGATGAATCCCACCCGAGCAAACCAGAAATCAACACCTCCTGCGGGAACAGGGCCAAATCACTGAAGCCCTGAAATCCCAGTTCCCTCACCTCTGCAGAACCACGCAGAACAGACCTACATCCAGTCTGTGATTTCATTTTACTTTATTTTTCTTGGGCACGCTGGGCGCGCACCACTTTAATTAAATACCAGTCCTATGTAGTCAAGAAAATACCTTCGCTTTTCCTGTGGTGTGACTCCCCTAGTTATTCAGGCTTTGTCGCCTCTGAATTCAGGCAGGTCCCTTCTCTGTCCCAGCCCTCTCTCAGTACAGGCAGGCTCTTAGCCTGTACAAACCACACTATAACGGACTCTTCAAGTGCGCCCGTGCGCCTCCCCTCCATGCCGTGACCTCTGGGGGATGGTAAGGGACATGGATCGATCACATGTCCTTCCAACTCTGTATTTCCAGCATCGTGCATGGTGACCAGAGCCTAAAAAGTTCCTAATAAATGCTGATCAACTGAAATCAAAATAATCCATCCGACAACAAGATCCGAGAAACAATCAAACCCCAGGCTTCCCAAGGAATGTTAGTTTCCAATAAAGAAAGAGAGACTTGAGTGTAGGGAAAAGAATGGAAGTATGGGGAAGGAGAAACACAGCACACCTGTTTATTTGGAGATTATGAGACCAGCCGCTATTCTAGATCACCTCTGTCACTCGGGGTCCCCTGGCTTCCCCTCTGGGCTTCAGTATTTTTTAATTAATATGAAACAGTTAACATGATTTCTATGAATATTTTCAGCTCCTGGAGAGGAAACCCCAGTCCTGGTGAAGCCGTCAAGGTTCCTGCTTGCTATACACATCATTGGGACTCCCCAAAAACGTCACCTCGGCTCTGCCCAGTTGCAGACCCCCGGAGTCTGAAACTTCTGGGGCGTCTTCTCAATGTCCAGTGCCGAGAAGTGCTGGCGAATGACTTCACCAAGCAGGCGTGGGCTCTGGGAGTCGGAACATTCTCTGCGAGGAAGGGAAGGGAGGCCTCATTGAACGGGGTGGCCTTGTTGTCTTGTGAGGCCAAGAAGGCCTGGAAGCTTCTGAGGATGGAGCGGGAGCAAAAACAAGTAGGGCGCAGACTGTCTTCTCCATGAAAGGCTTTACCGGCCCCAAGGCCATGTCAGCAGAACTCCAAGCCTCTCATTTTGCAGAGAGTGAAACTGAGACCAGAGCGCAGAACGAATAGGTGCCAAATTACAAAGCAATTGCGCACTGGCTCTGGGACTTCCTCTGGGGCCCAAAGTTGGGCTCCGGTGCCCAAATCCGAGAAGACAGCTCTCAGATCCTTGGGACTGCAAGGTGGGGGGTGAGGGGGAGCGGGGAGTAAAGGTTACACATGCATTCCACAACTGAACAAAGTGCATGTGAGCCTGATTCTAGAATTCTCTGTGACCAGGCCAGCTCTTCCACTGGTGGGTGGTGCTCGTCCTTTGTGCTATAGGATTTACTGTGAAGCAGGATAAGATAACTGATGGATTTGTTTTACTTCACCGTGGTTGGTTTTCCTGGTGTGGGAAGGAGCCTGGGGAGAGGGTTAAGGTTTAGATCCCATAAGGCAAAGCCCTGTCCAAATATAACTCCTCTGAGTCAGCAGCCTGCCACACAGACCGAGGGACTCGAGCGAGGTGAGCTGACCAGGAGGTTCAAAGACACCCCTTCCTGGGGGTGAGGGAGGGGTGCTGCTGAGAACTTGTCTGCAGGAGACATGCTGGCCTGGGGGTTGCCTTGGGCAGAGGGGAGACAGAGCCCCTCCAACCCCTGAGGCTCCAGGATCTGCAAGGACCCCCTCACTGCTGGACCCCACCACACCTAGGGGACCAAAGGCTCCAGACAGCCAGTCCTGTGGCCTTCCCTGACTTCGGGGGGTTGCTGACATGCCCAGCTGGGGGCATGCCTGGCCTGCCCCTGGCGCTGGAGCACAGGCCTGAGGTCAGCAAGCAGGCTACTCAGAAGTCAGCTTCCGCTGCGGGGGCAGAGCCCACGGAGGGTAATCCACACCCCCTAAAAAAAAACCCTCTGCCATTTCTTCTGGCAACACTTCCTGTTTTCTCCGTCAGCCCCAGGGCTCAAGAGGCCTCCCCTGGCCTGGCCTGCCTGCTGAGTGAGGTGAGGGGAAGATCCTGCTCTGGCCCAGGCCCTCGCCTGGCCCCAGTGGTAAAGCCTGGACAGCAAATGCGAGATTGGCAAAACTCAGGGACGGTACACCGCCAGGCTTGCGGGGTTGTTCAAAGGCGGAGGAAGGGACCCCCCTACTCATTCTGTTATTTATTGATTTGTTCGGCAAAAATAAATTTTTTGGAACAGGAGATTCCTTTCCCCAGACTTGAAGTTGCTGTATGTGAACATGCGCATATAGCACGAATGTGTACATCCATGTGTGCACACATATTTGCACAATTTTATGTAACACTCTGTGCAACACATTTGTATGGTAATAGTAACGACCCCATTTTACAGATCTGAAAACTGAGATTCTGAGAGTTCAAGTCTCACACTCCAAGGTCAGAGAGAGATGATGAAAAACCCGGATCTGTGGGGAGGGTGGGGGTGTGCTTGAATGGTGAACTCCGGTCGATCTTTTCAGCCAGCTACGGGATTTCAGAAAATGGCCAGGCCATGGCTATTGGGGAAGGAAGAGGAGGTGCAGGAAGGTACCTCCAAGGAGCCCAGGCAAGGTGCCACAGCCTGCGCCCCTTCCCCACCTCGGACCGAGGCCGCAGTTCCCATAACAGCCTGCAGGGGGCAGTGCGCCTTGCCTTTTGAGAACCTCCTGGGCGCGCTTACGCAGCTCCGGGGAAGGGACACCAGGCGGCTCCGCCCTCCACTTCTGAACAGTCCAGTTTTTACCCGGCACATAGTAGGTGCTCAAAGCACGCCTAGAAGCCGAAAAGGCCTCGATTAGGGGAATGAACGTAAATTCGGTAGTAGAAACGGGGAGAAGCAGAGAGGGGAAGTCCCGGCCCCTGCCAGCGCATTTCCATCTGGAGGCCTTTTCAAACAGCCTTAGTCCCTACTGTGTGTCAGGCGGAGTGGCGACCACTCCTGGACCACCTGGTTCTCTGCTAATCTCGTTCTCCCCTCCCCCCCCACCCCCCCCCCAGCCAAATACACACCGCGGGCGCTCGCTGTCTCGCTAGGGGACCATCTCGGCCCAGATCCGCGTGGCGAAGGGACCCCAGAAGGAGCGAGGAGTCTCTGGAGGTGGGCACGTGAACGCCAGGCGGACGCCTGATAACGGCCCCGCGGCAGAGGTCGCTGCCCTCGGGGACCAAGCCCTCTCCCTCTGCGGGACGCGCGCAGCCCGTGAGACGCAGTGACCCGCCCAGCCCCCACCGCTCGCGCACTTCGGGGCGCGCACGTGTCCGCCCGCCGAGCGCCCCCACCGAGCCCTGCGAGAGGCAGGCGCCGGCCAGGACCTTCGGGGAGCAGGCTGCAAGGACTCGGGGCTCCAGCCGCTGCAGACGCGGGTCCCCGGAGGCCCGGCCGCGGGCGCACGGAGAGGCCAGCCCGCGCGCAGCCTCAACCCCCGTCTCAAGTTCAGCCGCGCTTCCTCCCGCAAGGTCACGCTCAAACACACTCACGCTCAGCGAAAGGAGCAGCCCAAAGTTGCGCCGCGGTCCCGATTCCGAATCCGCGCGCTCTGCCCCGGGGTCACCGCTGCCCGGGCCCCGCGCGCGCTCTCCCCAACAGCGGCCCCTGCCCCGCGCAGGTCACACACCCGCGAGACGCAGACAAGTTGCTAACTTTTGTCAGATTATGTCGCTGCCGCTGCGGCGCCTAACGGGGCTGGGGCGGACCCAAGAGTTTCGAGTTGCCACCAGCGCCACCCCCGCCACGCTCCCCTGCGCCCACCCCATACCTCCCTGCCCACCGCGCCACGTCCAGCTGCCGCGTTCCGGGCGCCAACTTCTCCGTCGTCTCCGGAGCAACGTGGGCCGGTGGCGTCCCCGGGGGCGACGGCCAACTCCCGGATGTCCTCCCGCTCGCAGCGGATCTGGAGGCTCGATCCGTACACTGTCCCGCCGCAGCTCGACCCGGATCACCCGCAGCCTCCGCGCGCCCCCTGCGCCCCTCGCCCCACTCGAGAGCTCCGGGGTCGGCCACCCCGAGGGGACTCATCCCACCCGCGGGCCCCCCGGCCGCTTCGCCCTCTGGCGGCCCGGACCAGGGAGATTCCAGCCTGGCGCCGGTGCAATGTCACTGGGGCCACCCCGGGGACCGCTGCCTCGGACCTGGCGCAGGCTCCCCGCTGAGGTCCCAGCAGCAAAAGACCCCGGAGCCTCGGACTCCTCCTCCGAAGCACCTCGGTGACGCCGTGGCGAGGGACGGGGTCTCCCTACGCGTATCTTCCTCCGGGAGCCCGGGGTCTACAGTCCCACTTCCACTGTCAAGCCCTCCTAGACCCCTCCCCACCACTTCTGTTCCCGGCTCCCGACTATCCCCCCTCCACTTGGAGAACACACTCGAAACTGCCAGAGCCCCAACTCGGGCGGACGCAGCCCCCCGCGCACCCCGGGGCTGCGCTGGGCTCGGCGCGCTCACTCACCGCAGCTGGAGACACGCTGGAGTTTCCGCGGCTTCGGGGATGAGGGGCTCCGAGGAGACTACGGGGGGGGTGGTGTCCCGAACACTGGCCCCCTTCCCGGCTCACATCGCCCCGTCCCCCTCTCCCCCCTCCTCCCTCCTCTTCCTCCTCTTCCTCCTCCTTCTGGTCTTTGTCTTTGCAAAGTGTCGAAACTGTCTGGCATAGTGGAGCTCCGCCGGCGGAGGCTGGAGCCGGGGCAGCGGGGAGGCGGGGTGAGGCTGGGAGCGGCCTCGGGAACACCTTCCCCCGGGTGTAACGGGAGGGGCGCGCTGGCGGCCGGGGAGGGGCCGCGTCCCTGGCCGGCCGGGGCCGGGAGCCGGGCGCGCCGGAGCGGGGCGGGCGCCGGGGCCGCGCGCGGCCCTCCCCTTCCTCCGCCCAGTGCCCGCCCCCTGGGCCCGCTCCCCCCCACCCCGCCCCCCGCGCCCCCTCCGCCCTCGCTCGGCTCGGCTTTCGGCTCGCTCGGGGCTGCCTGCGAGCTCCGGAGCCACGTGGGCCGCGGCCGCGCGGCGGGGGCCGGGCTGGGGAGACGCCGGCGGCGGCGCGGGGCGCGGATGGCCGCCCCGGGAGGGCCCTGCGGGGACCGCTCCGCGCCGAGGCCGCCGCCCGCAGGCTGGAAGGACTGGGGAAGAACCGCTAGGAGACGCGTGGGGTCAACCCCGGGGAGGAAGGCGGCGGGCGCCCACCGAGCGGACGCGGCGGCGCCCCGAGGAGCCCAAGTCGGGCGCACCGTAGAAAAGAAGGGGTCGACACCCTCTTGGCGACGGGGCAGAGCCTTGGACTTCCTTTAAGGGCGCGGGACTCGAGGTGGGATTCAGGGAGGGGGAGGGGGGCGCGCGGCGGGGCTGGGGCCCTGGGAAGGCCGGAGCCTGGGCCCTGTTCGGAGCCGCAGAGCGGCCACCGCGGCGCGGCCCCCGCCCCGGCCCGCCTGCCCGCCGCAGTTTTGTCCTCCCGGCCGCGGAGGCTGCATCGCGGTCCGGAGCAGGGTGAGCGCCAGGCCCGGAGACGCCAGGCAGGCGCAGGTCCCGGGGCGGCCTGGGGCTGGGGCTTCTGGGACCGGACCCCCTTTGGGGCTCAAGTTTGCAGGGGGGGGGGGGGGGGGGTGTTGCCCTTTCTCCTTCACAGGGAAGTGGGAGCAGTGGAAACATCCTGCCCAATGGCCGACTGGCAGCCTTAGAGGCATTAAAAACGTGTGGTTGTACAGCTTTTATTCCCTTACAGGGGCTTTACCTCTTTTGGAACTTTTCTAAGCAATGCTAAGAGGAAAGAAGAACAGCGTGGCTTAGGGGGCACTTAATTTCTTCAAGCTTCCATTTCTTCCCTTGGAGAGGTCAGCCTTTTGCAGTGGAAGGGAAAATAGCTCCCTAGCACGTCATTCATCCGAGTGTGCTTCAGACCAGGCCAGCTGGGTGGGACTTGCACCCATTGGCTGTGTGATCTTAGGCTGGTTACAGAATATAAGCTTAGGTAGCCCTGTGCCTCAGTTTCCTCTTCTGTGAAAATGGGCCTGATAACTGTATCCCATAAGGTTGTTCTAATAATCTAGTGAATCCATCCATGTTGAATCCTTAACGATGCTTGTCATATAGTAAATGCCCAATGAACGTGGGCTTTCCATGGATGGAGCCCTCTGGCCTGGGCTCCTACCCATAATGTGGGGACGCCCCCCCTCCGGGGGGGGGCCATGGGTAAAGGCTGGACCAGGAGGCTTCTCAGCCTTGAAGGAGGAAAAGGGGAGCTATTCAGAGCAGAGAGGCGTAGAAAAGGAGCAGATTGGAAAAGAGGAGGCGAGAGTCCGAAAGTTCATCACTAGAAAAATTAAGGAATTCGTCATTAAGACTGCACCATTTTATCCTAAGTGAGTCTGGCGAGAAGGCCACATTGGGCAAGTAAATGTTCCCCAACACCGAGCTGCTGGTTCCACTTTGCAGCCAAGAACCAAAGAAGGCTCTTAATTTCAGCCCTGGGTTCTTGGCAGTTACCGTAGGTGACTCCACAGTGAAATGGAAATGCCTAATTAAGTGACTGTATAGTGAAGCATGCATAAATCATCACGTTATCTACAAAAAAGATTTACATCAGAGACACCTTTTTCCAGTCTTGGATGGGTTAACCTGGCCAGGCTCTTCGTTGCCTGCTTCTGTTCTGTTTACAATGTATTTCTTACCAGGTAACAAGAGAGGGCCTCCCCCCTCAACCCCCCTTCTCAGGTTTGTGCTAGAGTTGTGATATTCCATGGACGCAGCACTTCGAGGCCCCTGGACCTTTCCGGGAGCCCACATCCTCCAGGGCTGTGTGTCGGGGGGGGAGGGGGGGTTGGTGGGTTGGTGTGAGGGCATTCCTCATTGTCATCCTGAGCGTGTCTGCCTACGTGCCCTGCCCAGTACAGCAGCCAGAGTCATTACTGGGAGTGTCTGCACAGTGAGTGCCTCCAGGGAGCCCTGACATTGATTTAATGCTCACCCCCCCCCCCATGTGTTCAGAGCAACTGCAAAGCTCTGGGTAATAATGGCAAAGGAAATTGATTTCATCCTCTCCCCACCCCCATTCTTCACACATCAGAATGGAAGGATCCTAATGGGCCCTCATGCTATCTGGGTGATTGGGCAGAAAAGGGCCGCCTTGCTTATCAGCGGTGAGTTCAGAGCTGCCGGGCACGGACCGGGTGGTTTGTTGTGCGCAGCACTCTGCTTGCCGCGGTTTGGGGGCCCCAACTTTCCTTAGGTAAAAAGATGTAATAGGGGGATGTACTGTCAGAAGCTAGAAGGAGAAAGACAGCCAGGCTTCCCGGCTCTGGCTCTCTTCCCTCCCTCCCTCCTCCTGCCCCCCCTCTCTGTTCCTTCCCTGCCCACAGTCTCCTTCTACTAAGTCCTGGGGTTTGCCCTAAATGTTTCTTGGTGTCTGCGGCTCCAGCCCCTCTGTACGGCACGTGGCAACTGTCTAAACAGCCCTTCTAGTTTCACAGTTTCCCTTTCCACTGCTCATCTCTTCTGGATTTTAGTTTTTCCAGAAGAGGAATCCGATTGGCAGACTTCACTGGGTCCTGGGTCAACAACCCAGCGGTGAGTGGGCCGCCCAGGCAGCAAGTGCCTCTCTGAAGAGTAAGCACGTGGAAGGCGAACTTGCGTTATGGGGAATGCAGGACGAATAGCCTTAAGCCTCCTTCCAGTTCTCAGAATCTTGGGGACATTTGAATCGGCAGAACTATTACTCAGAATCACACACTGTACACTCACTACTCACATATGATAGACCCAACATCCATGCTAAGGCAGCTTGTTAATCTTGTCCAGTCATGACCACACTAATCTCTTTACTGGAAGTTGGCTCAGGAATATGTAGATTTAACCTCTGTTCAGATCAACAAGATAAAGAGTGAAATCTACTTGTGGTTTCTAGGAAACGAGTCCTTAAGAGTTAAGGCCTAGGAAGCTTCCCTTTATTTCCAACAGGACATGAACATGAAAGTATTTTTAACTCAGTTTCTCTAGAAGACCTCAGGTACCCACGAAGGGAGACAAACTGAAGCTAAATAGATCCCTGGTCACACCGTACCTGAAGCCTACTCTAGACTTGCTGTTGTATTAGTCAGAACAGCTATTTTGTTTCAGCCGCTTTAGGTCATGGTTCTATTACTTGCTGCCAGACGCTTGATAACCATACACAGCTACAGCCAGGTTCATTTCCGCCCGCCCCCCAAAGCCCCTTCACTGCCCCCAAGGCATTCCCAAGCTCAAAATCCTTAAATCTTCAATGGATCCCGTTGTCTGAGAATGTCAATCCAAACTTCTGAGCCTAGTAGTTAAGGCCCTCCTTGATGCGGTCTCACTGAAGGTTTCTCACTCATCTGGTCCCAGTATTTCTCTTTATGAGCTTGTATCGCAGACGTGATTCAGCCCAGGAACTCTGGTTCAAGAGCATGTTGTTATGTCCTTGGAGTCAGTATAGACCTCCATCTTGCTGGGCCAGTGAAGATTTCGCTAACTGCCATCCTGGGGCTCCTGCAATATACACAGATCCAGACATCTAACGCCAGGCTCCGACTGAGGGAATTCTGCTTCTCAGCACGGATCGCAGTATCCGCAGAGTTTTTGATGTTCTGGGCTGCAGGACCCTTAAAGAACCATGACTCCTAGATGTTGCAGACATTGGGTCCGGCCCTCCTGGATGTGTTCACTACCTAGTGCTACTGTAACAAATGACCACGAGCTGGTGGCCCCAAAACAGGAGACATGGATTTTCTTACCGCTCAGGAACCCAGAAGTCTGAAATCAAGGTTTCGTCTGGATCATCTCCCTTTGGGAGCTGTGAGAGAGAATCTGCCCTGTGCCTTCCTCCCAGCTTCTGGGGGCTCCTGGCAATCTTTGGCCTTGGCTTGTAGATGATCCCTTTGATATCTGCTACCCGTTCACATGGCTGTATGTGTGTGTGTGTGTCTGTCTGTCTGTCTGTCTCTCTGTCTGTTCTCCTTCTGTAAGGACAGCAGTCACCAGATACTTGGGGCCCACCCTAACCCACCACATACTGGGCTAAATTGGCACGGCACAGTCCCTGCCCGCCAGAAGCGCACAATTTGGCAGGGGACGGACATGGCTGGTGATTTCACCACAAAGGGGCGGTGCTGTGATGGGCTAATGGGGGGTGGGGGGAGGGTCGTGAGGTCACTTAGCGGGTGTTGGTTCACAAGCTCCGGAGCCTTGGGAGTGAAATCTGAAACTGCCCCCGCGCACAGAAGACAGGGAGAGATGGACGAGAGAGGCGGGTCTCCACGTTGGTCAGTGGCAAGTCACATGAGCAAGAGAACGTACTTAGAAGTCGGATCTCGAGTGCGTCAAGATGAATAGATCTCTGAACCCACCTTCTAGAGTCTTAAAAGTTTAGAGAGAGGCCTTAATGTCTCATCCCTCTGGGGGAACGGTGTGGGAGAGACCACACGTACCTTCCAAGGCAGTGAAGGTCCTCCACTTCCCCGGGGCCAGCTCTCGCGTCAGCTGGCGGTCACATCCCCCTGATGACTCCCTCCATCAGAGGGCAGCTGCTGGGGACAGGTGTCTTGGGACCTCAGGGGGAACTAGGTGAGAGTCTGGGGGAGGGGTGCAGGATGCACGGTTCACGCACCACCTGGTAAGCTGTGCGGAGCAGCCTGGGCTCTGCCCTGACTGCTGCCCGGAGCTCAGACTTCACATACTGGGCGGGGGCAGTGGGGAAGCGGCGACATTTGCATGCCGGCCAGAGGGTTCAGGCAGCCGCACGAGGCCGGGGACGGGGTGTCTGAACGGGAAGCAATGCTCATTGCGGTAATCCAGCAGAGGTC